GAAGAGTCTGCCTGGCGAAACACATGTCGGGGCACAGCTTATGGTCTTCCTGAAGAGCCTGCCTGGCGAAACACGTGTCAAAGCATGGCTTACGGTACTCTCGTACAATAACTTACAAAGCTCTATACGTGTGCAGAGGTTATACCTCTGGATGCGATAGCTAAGTAATACCTATATTAAATCAGATCCCTAACAGGTATTTAGGCTGACCGTTAGCTGAATGGGAGCACCGAGCCGTTTTCATGGAGCATAATAAGATGGAGCTAGTTAGTTTACCTCAAAGATTAGGTTCCCACAAAGGCCACTAAAATTGGCCCCAGCTGACTAAAAGGAATCTCAGGTGTCAATTGACAACTGGGGTTAGTGGTGTCAACAGGGATTTAGCCCTGTTCACACAGTGATCAGATGTTTAAATGCCTATTCAGAGAGCTGTTTACAAAGCTGGCTTCCAGCACTACAAACAGCTCATCTAAAAGTATGGAGCCTCTAAAACGTCCCCCACAGATAGAGGGGAGCCCCCATCATCCATTGACACCCTACTCACACCGAAACGTCAGGGCATTTTGTGTCGCCCTATAGGCTTTTAAGCCCACTTTGTACAGGATGGCATAGAACATGATAACGTCCTTAGGGAGTTAAGCTGTTTGTTTGTTTTTTATAATGTCCCGTTTTAGTCCTGCACTATAAGTTGTTTATCTCTCTTTTCTGTTTTTATATATAGTTGGAAAATGACATCAACAGTCATGAATACTCTATAACTGGCAATACTATTCTGACAACAGTGACAGTACACCTTTTTATTTTGAGTAATGTTGGGTATAGCTGTGTTCTACTTACTGATGGCATATACATTGTCACATACTGTAGTACAACATACATTGGGGTCTGACCAGTAACATAGATCTGCTATTTTCATTTTTGCACCAACTTGCAATTTGTAGAACAAAAGAACAAAGATGAACATCAACTATTGTGCCTATTTTGTCTATTTTGCGTTTTTTTTCCCGTCATTTCTGAAACAGTATAACTCACCGAATAGCAAATTGACACCAGAATGACGTGACCAGGTTTATGACCAAGTTACAGTTTATAAATGAATATATAAAAACACAACACATGCTGAGAACTGGATTGAGACATGTATTGCTGACTTGAGAATTATTTATGGTTATTAACATGTCAGTTAAATGTTCATAAACTGTATCATAGTTATTAACTAAAGTATGAGTTACATCATGATATCCAAAATGAATTTCAAATCTTAAACCACAATAGCTGATTTCTGCAAAATATTTTATTTAGCTCAGCTATTTTGGGCCAAAATTTGAAATTCATTTTAAATTCACTTTGAATATCAAAACAAATCACACTTACACAATATCATTTCATGTATACCAAAATACCACAACTAACTAGAACATTTATGAGAGAGGCATTGTTGGCATCGACTCCTAAAATATTTGAAACTTGTGAAGAGCATATTAAAAGTTATCGGGAATCTACCTGACATCATCTCTTAAAGAAACACTATAAAGTTAGGAAAACAAACATATATGCCTAACACTATAGTTCTTATTTAACTGTATTAATGTCCCCCACAACATGTGATGACTTGAAGGTTCTACTTACCTTTCAGCTCTTGCCACACTGGTCTCCATCCTGCTTGCACGTTTTCATAAAAAAGCGTTGGAAAGATACTGGGAATTTATAGCAAAATGCCACTTATGTGGTGATATAAAAATAAGGATCTATATCCCATTGAAGCTGCTTTAGAAATTATCTACAACAACTTTGGAAACTAAAAATTTTATTGTAACCCCAGAGAAAAAGAAAAGTAACTTTTAAAATATAATTTAAAATCCTGTGCTAGAAAATAATATATTGATTATAGAAGATGAGGTCATGCATTTAGAGTGTAAGAAAGAAGATTTAGCCTAAAGCAAAGGAAAGTTGTTGCTTGTTTTACCGTAAGAACAATAAGGATGTGGAATTCTCTGCCTGAAGAAGTGGTTTTATCAGAGTCTGTACAGATGATAAACAGCAACTAGATGCAAACTGGCAAAAACACAATATTTAATGAAATAATTTTTCAACTGTATCGTAATAGCTTCTTGATCAAAGGATATATCTGACTGCTATTCTTGGGTCAAGAGGGAATTTTTTTCTGAACTGAACTTGATGGACACATGTCTCTTTTCAGGCTATGTAACTATATGTAACTATTTAACTATATGTAACTATAAGGGGGGCAGCACAGCTTTGCCAGACTTGTATAAAACACATAGTTATAGAACTAACCTATCATTACTCATTTCTGACTTTGTGATACCAAAGTTTAGTTCCTTTACAATGGCTTTTACAGTAATGTTGAAATATTGGAATAAAGTCTACTTGCAAATTAAATATTAGAACTTTGACATTTTCTTCTTTTGGTTTTTAGCTCCAAAAATATTAAGCACAAATGAGTCATAAGGAGATTCAGCATGCCATTTAGTCTCAGCACAAGGAGAATTGGTTTCATAAAGAATAATTAATTTATACAGCACAGACTGTACAGTACAGCACTTATTCTTCGGAATGTTTCGAGATCCTGCTGCTAAGCGCTGTTACTGGCAAATGAAGATACAGTCTTTATTTATTCAACAATGAAAATGTTGATATTAGGAGGTTTAGAGCATTTTTTAATAAGTAAGAAATATAAAAGTGAATTTAGAAATATTAATAGAATTCCTGCAAAAAAAAGTAATTGAATTTAAAATACGCTCAACACATACTAAATAATCATGTCTTTTTTTTTTTAATATTCTGGAATCTTTCTAATTAATGTTGATATATTAGACACAAGTGTATGAATCAATTTTTAGGATGGACAAGGATGCAACCTGGATATGAGCGAAAACCAAAAATGTTTGGTTGTTTGCACAGTTGAGTTTGTTTGTTTTTGGGCGGGGAAGGGGGGGGATTAATTTTACAGGATGCTAATTTCCATGAGCAAAACTAGAGTTTTTTTTGTTTTTTAATACACGATTCATGAGTCCAAGCAGGTAACTAATTTCCTGTTTCTGTTGTCAGATTTTACAATAACCAGTGAAATAGAACTCTGTCTTCTCCACTTGCATATTATACTTAGGGCCCCCACCCACAGCCAATTGGTGTGGGCTGGGGGTACACTAGCTTTTCCCCTTTTGTTCTAACAACCATATCCCGCTGATCGTGGGCATGGGGTGAACGGTGATGTAAGAGGCCACACGCCCATGGGATGGGGCTTTCAGCTATGCCCTGCCCCAAAAAGCTTCACACATATAAATTGATCATAAGGAGTTTTAAACCTCAATTATAGCAATAGGGGGTCTTATTGATCTATGTATGACATGTATTTATTTATTTTAATTATTTAATGTGATGGCTGGCTATCAAGTGCAGGTTAGCTGTTACATTATTAAAGGAACACTATAGGGTCAGGAACACAATCATGTATTCCTGAGCTTATAGTGTTAAAACCCCCATCTAGCCCCCCTGGCCTCCTCTTGCCTCCCTAAACATAGTAAAATCTTACTTGTATGCTGGCTCTGCCCCTGTCTGCCTCTGACCTCACTGCTGCCTGCTGACATCATCAGAGGTGGTGTGAGCCAATTACAATGCTTCCCCATAGGATTGGCTGAGATTATCAATGAGGCAGATCAGGGGCAAAGCCAGCACAAGTCTGGCCAATGGCCAATCAGCATCTCCTCATATAGATTAATTGAATCCATGTCTACATGCAGAGGGTGGAGACACTGAATGGCAGTGCAGCTAAATATATATTGCTTGTCCATTTTAGAATGAGAGGCAGTTCTTTTACATGGCAACCAATGTATATGGAGTTTTTTTTATTTTACATTTGATTTTACAATATTAAGTGCTACCTAATTTTTAACTAACACCTGTTAAAAGGTCTGGTTTTCTTGGCAATTGCCTCCATTCTTGCATTGTCTCAGGGGCTTTCCTTTCTGGGTATGTGAGTTGTCTGATTAACCAGCAGTTCCTAAAACCCAGAGTGAATTGCTAAGAAGCAGTTAAAACTAATAAACCTAGAATGTATTAATGTAATTAAAAAGTATGATTCATGCATTACCGGTTACAACTACATGTGTAATAAAATGGCAAACATTGCCTTGTAGCAAGATAATAACAATCACACTAACCTGACCAGTTGTATCATACCTTCAAACTAGCCATGTTATTATGGGACACTCGGCTCTCTGACACTATAACGCTCTACAGCGCAGAATGCGCAGTCTACGCATGACAAGACATCATTCATGCAGGTCAACACAGTGTCTAACACCAGTTATGTACACATTCTGGGAAAGCACAACATACAGTATGTGAGCATTTAAAATAACATTTAGCTTAATAAAGTTTGAAAGGATCTACCCAAGCACCATAAACACTCAGATTGCATGAAGCTATGAACTTCTGGCTTTAGTAGTGGAGGCAAGGAATTGCGCCCTGCAGACTCCAGATAAAAAGTTAAACAATTGAAAAACTGTTTTAATCCTTATAATTGGAGTGGTGTCAGGGCTGTATTGGTTATGGTGCTTGAAGTTTCCCTTTAAAAAAAGTCTCCACTGCTTCAAAAAAATCTTTGAAAACACACTGCTTCGGGAAAACGTATCAATTAAACCAGCAGGTTTTCATACCCCCACAACTGTCAAAAATAGCCTAAGTTCTCAGTGAATACTTTTCTAGCAACCTATTTCATTACCCCTAGTTATCCCCTTTGTGTCACTATACCCCACTCCCTCTAGCATGTAAGCTCACTGAGCAGAGCCCTAAACCCCTCTGTTTCTCTGCGTCCACTTACAATTACGTGTCTGTTAGTCTACCCATTAAACAGCACTGCAGAATTTGCTGGCGCTATATAAATAATAATTAGTGATGTCCCGAACTGTTCACCGAACGGTTCGCGAACTGTTCACCACAGTTCGCTACGAACGGTTCGCCACGGACTCCAGTCAGCTGACACATTCCAGCCAATCAGCAGCAGACCCTCCCTCCCAGACCCTCCCACCTCCTGGAAAGCATCCATTTTGAAGCTGCATTCTTAGTGAGCTGTCCAGGAGGTGGGAGGGTCTGGGAGGGAGGGTCTGCTGCTGATTGACTGGAATGTGTCAGCTGACTGGAGTCCGCGCGAACCGTTCGTGGCGAACCATGGCGGAAATCAGCAATGAAACTTCTATTCCATAAATTATTTTTACAATAACACCCAATGTTATCGATATATGTGTATCACTTTTTAGATTTACTCCTTCCCGCGCATTGTATATGGATTTTAACCCAAATTTTTTTTATTCCAGAGCAATGCAAAAAGCATCAGTGAAATGTCAGTCCAGCCAGAAGATATACTGATATAAAGTAGGGACTACTCTGTATATTTCCTCGACCAGATTTTCCTCCGTTGGACTGTGTTGAGTCACAGTGTCAGTCCTGAGTGCCGGATCCTCCACAGAACTCAATTCTCTACTCTTGTGCATGTGCAAGAGCACAGCAGTGACATTGACTTATGAGGGACAGGCTCAGGTAAGTAAATCTCACCTTTACCTGCTCTATGCCCCCAGGCCACTGGAGTACCAGCTTCAATGCTACTGTGGGGGGGTCTTTGCGAAGGTCCCCAGAGGGTGACTTTAAAAGTACTGCTTTAAGCATTTTTATAATACGTTTCCAGAGGGTGACATCTAAAGTAGAGCTTTAAGCATTTTTAGAATTTTTGTCACACCAATGTTTAATTTATGTAACAAATGTATGTAACAAAAGTAATATTATTTCAAATTTTTTTTTATATTTTATACTCTGTCTGACATAAACAATAGCATATATTATTATTTCTTTATAAAGAATAGATAAGATTACACAAATTGTGTAAATTGGACTGACTTTGTTTATATACATTAGGACAACAGTCAACAAACATACATACATACTATTTTAGTAAAAAGAGATAGTAAGAATAGTAATCTACCATATTTAATGTTCAGGAGAACATATTTCAATACCAACAATTCCAAAAAGATTTGCAAATTAAGCAGTAAGCTGCTATTAGTTTAGTTATATTTGAGATAACACCAAGCAGAGAGGAATAAGATTTGTACAAATAGTTATTATTTAGTCACATGTAAGAAGGGTAGCCTGCATTAGCCTAGTTATATCATTTTTATTCAACCACCTTGATGTATTAGAAACCAGAACTCAATTGAAAAAAACAAAAAAAAAACAGAATGTACACAAAGTATAAAGTATTAAATAAAATGTATGTATATGTTATTTTAATTACCGAAAGACTATTGCTTGCCTCAAGCATTGATTCCATTTGTAAACAACATAGCATGTGTTCTCTCTAGAAATGAAATGAGTACACTGTGAATCGAGTGCAGAAATTATCAATAGACAAACAATACACACACATTATTGCATTCTCACAGTTCGAAACGGAGGTCATCTGTCAACCAGGTTTCAAAGAACAACATCATTCTGTGTGTCAGCTCAATACCTAATGCCCTCAGCAATATCACAATAACTGCACCTAGACACTAAAGTACAGCTCAATTTTTCACCTTCCTTATGTACTTTTACAAGAAGGGACAACTTATCAATGCTAGTGGCAATGTGAAAAATTGTTTATATGGTTCACTAAAGTTTATAATCTGTTTGTTGCAAAATACAGTCTTTAAATTCTTATTACATTCTTACATGGTGAAATACATGGTAAAGCTAACAATATTTACACGCTACAAAAGGAAGGTTTTGAAGTACAAATACTACAGAGTAGGTTTACTATGGAAAAGTCAGCAATATACTTGTTATTCACGTAAATTAAAAAAAAAAACAAAGAAAGATAAGGTTAAAGAGCTCATGACATAGAAGATACAAATAATGGTAATTAATTAAACATGGATTCTGGTATCTTCAATGGAGCTTTTCAAAACAAGATTTACCCAGTTTGTTTGAAATCCACAGAAAGGTTTCCTAGGGCAAATCGGAGGTAACTACACATTAGTATTAATTAGTCCAAACCAACAAATGGGTGTTAGAAATGTGTAAATGTTGGGGCTCGTTATAATAATTCATATAGCTCCTTTCTTCCAGTGATACTCAAAGCACTTTTTAGTGCACTCACCCCATTGGAATAAACCAAATCAGCATCTGAATAATTGATGTTATTATTACCTGATTGATAGAACTCATTTTGTTGACCTTGGGAAAATAAAGTGCTGAGTAGACGCTGCTGTGATTTGAACCTGTGACCTTGTGTTTTGGGCTCTGTACTCAGGGAATTTACCAACTGTGCTACCAATCACGACACTACACTTTTCTGCTACTCATGAAATTGCTGCCACCATAGTAAATTTTTTATTAAGAAAGCTAAGCTGGAAAATAGCTGATCTAGAGAATTTCTCCAGTTATTTTAATCGAAAATCTGCAAATCCCTTGTCAGTTTCTAATTTATTGAATAAGCATGAAGCTATCCAATAATGTTCAAACTTCCTCCTTAGCTCCAGAGACAATCTTTTATTTGCCTACATCAGCATTGTATAATATGTCAGGCTATTGTGTTCGTGTCATCTTCTGTTGCTTTGCTGCCAAAAAGGTAAAGGCTTATATTTGTCGTTTTTTAAAACAACTTTATTCCGTACATTCCACTTGTTAATTGTCCGAGCTGTAAGACGAAACCGTGTTTTAGTTTAACAAGTATAATTAATTTCTTTAACTTTCAACAGCAATGTAAAAACAGGATTTCTGTTCTTTGTTCAATTTCACAAACATTATTGCGTGCCATATCTTCATCTGTGAATGAAACATTTCTCAAAAAACTGTTGCTATGGTATTTGAAGATAATTGTATAAAGTAAAACAAAATACACCTGCTCTACAAACTAAAACAAAACCAATTTAGAAAGTCTATCCTCATATATGAAATATTTTGTTTGTTAAATTTGATTCCTGGCTTCGAACTCTTTCAGGTTACATTGTGTATTATTAGTGAACAGGTGTCCAAAACTGTACTGAATATTCATGCGCAGACACAATATTATATTCTGCTACAGCACACTCACCCCTTACACCTCACATTACATAATTATTATTTCATGGCTATTCCAGCAAAGCATTTTAGTTTTTTTCTTTACTCTTTCGACACAAGACCAGTTATTATTCTGTAGTTTTTCAATCAATCATGCATAATGTAAATTGTGTTTCAAGTGGGTGTTAGACAATATTTTTTACTTACAAAAAAGCAAGTTTGTAGTGGACCAACTGCAGCAAAGTGGTCTTAAATTGTAGTTGAATAAAAAATGATGTGTGAAATAACTTTGCTGTAGCATATTCTAAAACTGGTAATTAACTCAGACTAAGTATGTACCTAATACCTTGGTCTCCAGACTACCCATAGAAGTACGGCTGTATTTGGCTTGTTTGGTAGTTAAGGACCCAAACAATTTTGGAATTTTAAATATGTGCTTGTTCAACTGAAATGTCCAACCGGTTAATGCATTGGACCCATACATATTATATACAGATTAGAGAAGGCTTTAATTTTGTTACAGAAAAACCAGCACACAGATGGACCGACAAAGTAAACACTATAGGGTATTTATCTAGAGGTACTGTGATAATTTTTATTTTGCCATTTTCCTGCAATTCGTGGTAATTTTGATTTTATATTGTTTTATATGTTTTTGAGTTTTTCTCTCTCTCTCTCTCTTTTTCTCACATACACACACACACACACAGACACACACACAGACACACACACACACATTGTATTTTTGCTATGTATTTTATAAATACAATGTTACAATGTGTGCTGCTGTAATAAAAAAAAATCCAAGCAGTGTTCAGCAGAATGTCCCAAGTGTAACAATAACCCACGTACCTTTGCCAGGTTTTTGAGATTACGAGGTGAAAGCAGTGGTGTATTTTAGTTTTGCGCTGCCCTAGGCATGACTAAACCTGGGCACCCCCCAATCTAAATTTACCCCACCCCTTCCTGTCAAGGCCAGACCTCTTCCTCTTTAAACTACACCTTTTCCTACTACTTTTAAAGGGAAACTATGTAATTATTACATTTTTTTATCAATAAATACAAATTAACAAATATTGACTTTTTCTTCTGTCGACTGAATGTGATATATATATATTTTTTTTTTGCAGAATGTCGAGGTATATTCCAATTGGCATATCTTAACAATACATTGACAGCATGGCTGGACTACTTTAGTTTCTGTAAATACAGAGAAGTGTATGCAGCCCTCCCTTGTTGATATAAACTGCTGATTTTCTACAAAACCAAATCTCTTCATCCTGTGATTTAATTCTTTGGACTTTTTTCCACTGCGCACAAAGCATCCATCAGCATATATTGTTGTTTAATCCCTCCTTTAGTGACACAAGGCTTTTCTGTGCATATATTATAATAAGTACATATGCAGCTCTAAACTTGATTTTCTAGCTGTACTTTCACAGATGGTATAAAGTCCCTCAGGTACTTGTTTTAATGATATAGCCAGATTATCAACCCAGCACACAATTCGATCTTACTAGTGCTTCTATTTTCTGCATTTCTCTTTTCCAAAATGCTTTTTAAGATTTAGTTATATATTTGTAGGATTATAAAAGTAGATTAAGAAGTATATATATATAAAAGTAAAATAAATAAATCTGGTAAATATTGGCTTTGTATGAGAACTTTGTTGGATTCCTTTTCAATTCTGTCATTGCATTTATTTTATCTTTGTCTCTTGACTTACGGTATATAATGAAACCAACAAGTGGTCCATTCACTGAAACAGTGAGTTATGTAAAGATGACAAGCCACTTATAAGATATAGACCAAAACAGATTAGTTACCAAACAATCTCCAAGACAACTTACTTAAAAGAACAAAAGAATTTCTACGGATCAATTGAATGTCTGGAAACGTGGGAATAGAGTGTAGGAAAGAGTTTCAAAGTCAGTAAAACCCTTCTAATACAAATATACACTAATCAGCCACAACACTAAAACAAAATTAAAACCACTGACCACAGGTGGTAGCATGTATCATGACAGACCCTTCAGTTCAAAAGAGCTGCCTGGGATCCAATTTGGACATAAATAGTTTAATGTGTGTTTTAATTTATA